CCCAGCCGGCGAAACCGTCGACGACATAGATGCGGTTGCGGGTGTTGAGATAGTCAACGGCACGCTCGCGGTTAATTCTCCATACCTATCAATCCAAGCGCTTAGGTCAGACTTGTTGTTGCTAAGACAAAATTAAGCGCCAAGATATCCGCCAGAGCCTCTTTCGCCAAGATTGCACCGTCACGTTATCCGATGAGTGCGGGGCTTATGATATTATCGGCTAGAAGGGTAGGGGAAAAGGGGGGGGGAGAGGAGGGATATGGAGAAGAGACGAACCTCGGGGCTCATGGCCTTGTTAACAGATCCCCACCAGACGTCCTTGGACGAGCTGTCTTCCTTGACGATACGCTTATCTAGGGGAGAGCGGCCGGTTTTGGCACCAGAGTAGGCGGTAAGAGCACCGCTGCAGGTAATGGCGGTTCCGGTCTCGTAGACCAAGGCATCTTCATAAAGGGAGGCGACGGAAGGGTTGGCAATCTGCAACGACCGGTTAGAACGTATCAAAGCTATATGGGCCTAGCTTCCCATTCAAGTTCAAGAAGACTTACGATAGCAACTCTGTCATAGTCGATGTGGGCGGTCTCGTGGAGTTCTTCCTCGATCTCGGTGTGAGGGTGAGACGGCCTGGCAAGCGGTCGGTCAGTGATTGCCCTAGCATATGTCGAAGGGTCTTGACAGAGGATAATTGAGGATAAGGGGGATTTAAGAGAGGGCAAGGGAGCGTACTGGACACCAGTTGGGTGCAAGCTCGTCCGGTTAACTGACGGCATGACCATTTTGAGGGATGTAGAGTGGTAGTTAGAATGATCCTGTTTCAATGCCTGCTGCTTATAAAAGTCTGCCTGCTGAGTCTGGGAAGTAGAAGTGATGGTTGAGGAAGACGGGTTGGAACGGCGGGAATGGGAGGGTATATGTATCTGATCACAACGAGCGGAAGAGAGGGCAGCGGAGGTGGGCAGCATGGTTGCTTATTATATCCTACGGCACAGGAACAGTTTTAATTTTTCGTTTTCGTGAAGCGTAAGCGTAATATCGTGTCAGGGATCGTGCGAAATCGTGGGTGTTGCTCCGGCAAAGCGGTAGTTTGCTGCTCGCTGCTCGTCGTTTCTGGTGGAGTTTTGCAAAAAAGAAGGCAGAGTCAGCCAGGGCACGGGGTTTTTTCGCAAGGCCTGGGCCACCTGCCACCCGGATTCTCCCGGCCCGGTGGCGCTGGCGGGCGAGGGCCTTCTCCGACATCCTCCGATCCCCGTGATTCGACAAAACGGGTAAAGAAAAGGGGGACAAACCTTCAGCTTCGACTTCAACCGCAACGACATCAACATCAACATCAACGTCAACGACAATCACAACATCCGCGCATTTGAGAGGGCCGCGACAAGCGGCGGAAGGCTGCACTGTCTGGAGGTCGGGCAGCGAGAACAGTGTCAACCTTGTGATGGATTACACGATAATTTTGCAGTGAATTGCTGTGTTAGTCGCCTTGGCCAGCCACTCGCCTGCCCGCGAAGACAGCCACAATAATGACTCCATAGACGGAGGTACAGCCATCGGATTGACTCTCGAGCTCGCAGGGTCTATTTTTATTTTCACCTTCGAACGTCAGTTTCACTTACTCAATGGTAAACTTGTAACTTTACTCAATTGAACGAGCCAGGGAAATCTCTCTGCAGCCCATGTTGGATGTGGAAGGTCAGGTAGCTCAGCATCAAGAGTAAACATTACAGTACCGGCACGGAGTACTCCAAAATACACCAAACAATATACAATAAGGGCCTTCTTGCAAGGATTGAGTTAGGTTCCCCGTCACAGACAGCCATGGGGGGTTACCACCATGCTACGCCACAATGCTTCCACCTGTCCAACTGAGGGCCAAAGAGGGACCTGGCTTCACTCTGGAGTACGAGAGCGCTGACTGGCTCGCTGTGACTTCAATCTGAGGGGTGGCGATTCTCGTGGATGTTCGTGCTCCTGGGAAATGGCGACCCGTGATTGCTTTCTCAGGAACACCTTCTGGCCAGGCCGTCTTGCAAAGCTCGCATCGTTTTGCAAAAAAGAAAGATGATGGAAAGGAGAAGCTCTTGCTCAAAAAAGTGTCTCTAATTCCGCGTCACGTTGGTGATTGAGGTTTTCTAGCTCCCGCTCAGCGTCGCTAGCTCCATCGCACCCACGCTTTTGCAGTTCATGTTCGGCACCTGTCCGAAGGATCGTTGGCTGTTCCAACTTCCCCCGCCAGACCCAGCCCATGCAAGAACAGGGATAGAAATTTTTTTTTTTTTTTTTCTCTTCTCCCCTCTTCAGCATTTTCGGCCAACAAATGACGTCTCATGGCTTTCCAACAGGTGGCATCGAGTAGGCTCGGGAAACTGCTCGATTGTCTTCCATCCAATTGGGCGTCAACTATGAAACGAAAAATGAGACCCCTTGCATCGCTTTCCCGTCTTCCTCCACAGCTCCGTCCTGTCGGGCACTCATGCTCCGTCGAGATGACCTCTTCCGCATTCTTTCTTTTTCTCTGGTTTTCGCTGGATCTTCTGGTTTCTTCCTTGGAGTTTGGTGCATAAACATAAAAAAAAAAAAAAAAAAGGAATCTCCCGCTGACAGGAGAGAAATGGACGGGCACCCTGTATGGAGAATTCTGTCGCACACCCTGAGTCTGATTTGTACGGAGTACAGTGTTTGGGGAAGAAATATCACACAGCTCATCACTTCGTTCCTTTAAAACCTCATCGCTTCTAGCTGATCGTCCGCAACGGGTTTGTAACACACCAGCTTAGGCTTCCGGTCGTTTTTCTACGAAGCACTTGCTGCGCCTAGTTCGGCCCTAGTTCGAAGCTGAACTTCATTGCAGCAGCAAATGAGGATCGGTTGATCGTTCAACGGCACTCTGTAGGCTGACAGTCAACCCGATGCGGGAAGCGCGCTTGCGACGTATTTCCCAAAAGAACCATTTTAGTGACACAAGTCGGCGACCTAGCTGCGCCGGTTTCGTCCTACAGCAGTTTTCTCTGTACGACGTTCTTACGCAGAGAAATCTTAAAACAATAATTTTTCAAGAAATGATCATGAGAATCGGCAGACCGGTGAGAGGATACAGGGGAACAATACAATATCTCTACGGAGTACCTATTCACTCTTTGGTTCTAAAACGATTCTCTATATTATCGGCATGAAGGACGATAGAGACTTGCAAGGGTTCCCCTCATCGATGCCATACCCTACTTGTCCTAGTCCTGCCGCTGGAGATGCAGCGGATAGCTATCAGTACTCTAACTGATATAAGCTTCTGACTACACAGAATGACATACGGAGTAATTACATACTCCTTCAACCCTCAAGGGTCAAAGATAACAAAACGTTGATAAGACGACCAGGCCGACGGAGGGAACAAGCTATTGCCTAGACGCTTGAAAGAGCTTCAAGTTGCTTGTCTGGTTTATCAATGCCTGTTAACGGGTAGTCATGGTATCGCAGCGTCCCGGGATCTTCACAAGTTGTTGATCTCCCTTAGGGTCTTGCTACTTGGGGATGATACATGCTCGACAAATACCTAGTTAATGCCTCATAATCTATTGATGACGATGATCAGGGCTAGTCAAAGCCATTCCACCAAACCGTCCATCTGCCTGCCTTTTTACCCGTGTATCTGGGCATTTGTGCATCTCAACTCCTTCATCCTCCATGATCCTTCAATTTAGCTGATTTAATTAGTTGTCTGTCATACAGATTCCGCCCGGAGTCTATACACATTAATCATCATGCGTACGTATGTAGGTAACGCCATGCTCTCTGTACGCCTCACCTCGTCTCAGCTTGCTTGTTCTTCTCTCCGTTCTCTGTAAGCTAAGTTGATACTCACTCTGCGCAACTGACTTTTTTCAGCCACAGCGAGCTGCTTTACTCCCTGCCTGCCGTTTCACATGTTGCCCTGCAGAAACAGGATCGACGACCAACTTTTCGCGTAACGCGCTTACTGACATCTTCCCACTCCTAACGTCTTTTCGCCCTTTATCTTCTGATGTCTCATCCGTCTTTCCGTTGCCATCCAGTTTTACTTCCAACATCTTAATTCTCGAGGGCTTTCTGATCCTGAGATCGACGGTTTATTCCGGGTGTTTCTCGTTGCTTCCAAGGTTAAGTTGTCTCCGGTTCCCCGGCTCGCCCCGAGGAGAATCACGGGTTAAACTTGGAGTTTGCCGGGGCAATTGCCGGTTTGTCCCGAGGAATTAGTTTACGCGGCTGGGAGGAAAGGGGTTGCAGAGGAGTTTGGTCGAGGGTTGGTAAATTCGGTGGATACATTCTCCGTAAGAAACGAATATTTAGCAGACGAGAGGGCGACAGTTGTCTGGGAAACAGACCAAGTAACAAGGACAGGGATGCTCGCCAAGTCGAGAGGATCTAGATCGGATTGTGTTTCTATCTCTATGGAAGTACAATTCTATAGCCCAAGGTCGATTTTATAGGAGCTGATAAGTAGAAGAATAAGAATAAATAGAAATCAAAACAGGATGGGTTTGGCCGGCCAGCATATTCCCTACCATCTAACTATGTATTTGTATATCTCGTCTAGGTGAGAGTTATCACTATTAACCTCTGAATTCGCTCATAAATTCCTTGTGGAATTTGACAATGCGGTCTACCCATTCGGTCCCAGGAGCTAGGAAGGTTGTGCGGAAGTGCAGAGTGCCTTCTTTCTGTCCAAAGCCTGAGCCGGGTACGACACAGACACCTGTCGCATCGAGGAGACGGAGACAGTAGAACTCGTCCGCCTTACGACCAGCCTTACTGGCAGCAGCAACAGCCTTAGGTGGTAGATGGATGGTTGGGAAGAGATACATAGCTCCCTAGAACACACGTCAGGACGGCGATACAAATATATAATAATGGACATGACATACCTGAGGCTCTTGACATTCCACGCCCTCCATCTTTTTGAAGGCTTCATACAAAGCAAACGCACGCTGCTTGAGTCCGTCGGCAATAGTGTTGTACTCCTTCTGATATAGTTCGTAGCTCTCCTCACCTTCCACTGGCGGGTGAACCATACACTCGAGCAAACACTGGCCGATCACAGGTGGGCAGAGATTGATGCTCACGAACTTGTAGACCTGCTCGACCACTTCAGGTTTGAAACCGACGAGTTCAAAATATCCTCCTCGATGGCCACATTCGCCGACCATTCCCTTGGAGACTGAATGTAGTGAAACCAGCTCAATGCCATCGTACTTACCAGGAAACTCAGCCTGCAGCTCACGGAGACGTTTTTTGAAGGATGTGAACTCGCCCTTGAAGACGTTGGTCTGGTATACTTCGTCGGCAATGATGACCAGGCTCTTTTCGGCGGCAATATCAATTACATCCTTGATAGCCGCGGGATTGAGGCTGGCTCCGGTGGGGTTGCCAGGGTTGATAATCACGATGGCACGAATGTCTGTTCCAGCTTTCTCGCCGCTGGCAAGCGAGGTCTTAATCTCTTCGACATCTGTGGCCCAAGATTGAGATTCATTCAGGTAGTATGGCACGCATGTAGCATCGAGCAGGGAGAGAGTTGCTGTGTATAGAGGGTATTGGGGGATGGGAACAAGCACTCCGGTCTTTTTACCAGCGCAGATGACGTTCAGAATAGTGCTAACTCCCGCAGAGGCACCGCCAGTCAAGTAGATATCTTTCTGGCTGGCCGGAAACCCGTCTCGGCGGGCGATAAAGTCTGCAACACTTTGCCTGATACCGGGTGCTCCCAGGCTCTGGCTATATGCACCAACGCTCTGGACATCTGCTAGCAGCGTCTTTGCCCGCGCAATAACGTCGGATTTGTATCCAAAGACAGACTTGAGGGCTTCTTCGTTCTGGAGGAGGGGAGGGTACTCCAGGAGACTCAGCACCTGGCGGGAGAAGGTGATAGGCTTTTGTTCGAGCTGTTGCGGGTTCCCGATATTGGCAAAGATGACCTTATCGAATGGCAGCTTCTCGCCTCTTTCAAGAGCGAGTCGGTACTCTTCTGCTTTCACCGCCAGCTCTCCTCGGACAGCATACTGCGCGTTGATAACGTTGGGGTTGATATTGGTCCTGTTCATACGGGGAGTCGCCATGGCGGAGTATCGACGAAGGACGGCGGTAGCTTGATAACTATGTCAGTACGGCCAGAGTATAATATAATTGTAAAAATATCGAATCTTGTCTATATGTATTATAGCGATATAAGATGACTGGGTAAAAATGACTATAGGTGCAAATGAGGGACTGCTGCCCGCCTTTTTAATAGTCGTGGGTGGGCATAAGTTGCCTGACTTTTGCTTTTTCATATGTGGGGGAAGAGATACGAAGCAGTCAGACTGTCATATCATGCCTGGCCAACGCCGACTGGACTTACAAGCACACTGTGACCGAGGTGATGCCGGCTTCGCAGCCAGATGGACACCGGGGAAGCAAAGAAGACGTCCGTGGCATCGAGGGAAAAAGCAATCATAGGCGGTTGACCATGCAGTAGTAAAGCCCGGTAGAGTGCGAAGAGAAGCCATGCCGAGCCAACGGCTTATACGCAGGGAGACAACTGATGGTAAGTAGAGGCAGAGAAAGAAAGAGAAGATGATGAACTAGCGCATGGTTTATTTTCTAATTGTTGTTGGATGTAGCGTCGTTCGTATCAATTTCAATTGAGCGGCCCTTGATGGGCTTGATAGTCGCCATAGCCTTGGCGGTTTGAGAAGATAGAGGGACGGGGGTTGGATATACGATAATGAAGATTAGAGAGAGTATGTGGGCGTAGAAATAAAGGCGGAATGGAGTCAGGAGATCAGGGCTGTGTATTTCTATCTAGGCCGATGGTGTTGTGGGTTAAGGACATGACCAAAATAGCTGGGATGGAGCTACGAGGTTAGCCACGCTCACTGCCTCTCAACCGCACAGCCTGCCCGTACTTCTGCAGCTTAGTGATTAGGGCATCTCCCTGTTTTACTACGTCTGCGTACTGCTTGTTCTTGTCGTCTGGTCTGTTAGTTTCAATAATCCCGTTGACCCTGTCAATCGTGCACGATATCCGGTCCCCGGCAATAAACTTAGCAAGGTCCCTATGATCAATTAGTATACCGAGCGGAAGTAGGCGCTGGAAAAAGTGACTGAGGGCACTGTTAGTTGGGAGAAGTACAAGAAACATACCGATCTAGGAAATCAACAGTGACACCGAAGTCACCGGCCATACTTGCTAAGCCAACGACGCGGTAGCTCTGCAGTAGCTGCTGGTAGCCGCGTAATCTCATCTCACGCACAAACCAGGCACGGTGCTCGAACAGATACCTGTCCTGGCTAAGGAAGTTATCTTCCACTGCTGCCAATGCGGAGAAGAATGAGCGGTACTGGCCCATGTAAAGGCTGCTAACAAGCTTGGTCAATGAGGTAAAGTCGACGGGCGCTTCAGCTTCGGATTGAACGCCAGCCTCAGTACCTAGCGTGGTAAGGTTGACTACTTTGGATGCTGTGGCTGGTGTGGGAGTGGCACTGGTCTCCACGTCTGTCATATCTTCATCACCTGCTCCGGGACCTGAAGAGAGAGACCCTGATAGCGCAGATAGTCTGTCCTGACCTTCTCCTAAAAGAGCCTTGATCTCTGGTGCATCAACTACCTTGGCCTTGAAGTCCACACGTCGAAGAGATAGCGAACCAGCGAGAACAGAATAAATAACCAGGTTGGAGTAACTGCAGAGTTCATAGCTGGTAAATGTCGATAGACTGTCGAGGAGTAGAGGTGCTGCGAGGTTGTAATTGCGGATAGTAAGTAGATGAAGACCCTTATAGGCCTTTAGCCGATTTCGACGGTCCCAATCACCACCAGACTCAACCAGAGTGTTTGCACGGTCTACAGTTTTCTTGACGAATACCTTATCACCAAAGAAAAGTCCAATACGGACCATAGCGAGCACAATATCGATCTTGGTGCCTAGGACACCAGTATTTTCAAACACAGCCTCATAAGCCGCGATGGCTTTATCCTAAATAAATCGAGCATGTCAGATTGGATGTCAGGTAAGGATACGGCAAAAAAGGAGGATAGCTTAACACACACCTTATCGCCTACTCTGGCCCAAAGTTCTGCTTTCTTGCCCCTTGCGGCTTGTACTTCCGTCTCACCAGCAGCCTCAGCCGCCTCTTCCTCCTCCTTCGTCAACTCATCCAACTCCCTTTTATTCTCCGCGACCAGGCGATCATAGAGCTTCTCATCCCACACTAACTCTGACCTGCTAGTCGATGGTCTCCGCGCTAGCATGTCGGACATCACCACCACCCCAGTGCTGCCAGGGCTTGATCCAGCTGCTGCAGGGGGCTGTGACGAGCCTTCCCCAGTGCTATTAAGCACACCTTCTACCGGATGAGCAAGATGTCTGTATAGGGGCGCCATGTTGTGCTCTTTTATGGCGGCCTGGAGCTTCTTCAGAGAGCTCTGGCGTGAGGAAGCGTGGCATGCTGGGTTTGAGAGGTTGAAGATGTCTTGGCTGAGGGAGAGGTTGGGGTATTTGGCAAACTGCGGGTCGGAACCCATGGCGATTGAGTGTGAGTAGTGAGTGTGTCGGCGACAGTTAGATCTGTATCTCAGTCGTGGGTCCGGAGATGGCTGGGGAGAAGGCGTTCTTGGTTACTGCCTGCTTGTCTTCTGTTCTGCTGGCTGTTGATGTTGGTGATGTTGAAGCTTGAGCTTTGATTTGGTTCGAACTCCCGTGGTCACGTGGTAGGTACGCCAGGCAAACGTGCAATTTGATATTAGAAAGGCAAGGCAATCCGTGGACAGCGTAAAGTGGAAAATACTTGGTTACAGAGTAAGAACTCAAGGCATTATGCAACCTTGATATGGCAATTAATATAGCAAAGAGAGAATTATTATATAGAGCAGTGGAATGGAATGGGCAGACAGTATTCTATCGGCTGTGGTCTACAACTTATATTTGAAATTCAATTTATTGTCTAGAGATACCTATTATTATATCTAAATTATATCATCTTCATCCTTTTTTTTTTTTTTTTTTCCGCGTCTTTCGGTATGGAAACGCTCGTTTCTTCCGATTTCTTTGATGTCGGGTAGAAAGAGAGATGTGCTTACTAAACCCGATGACCAAGCAAGCGGATAATGATTGTCACGAGCCTCGCGCTTAATCAGAAATTACCTAATACATACTAACCCAAACCAAGGCCTTTGCCAAGACCAAAACAACCTCCCAAAAGCGGCTAGTGTCATTGCTCGCTCTGCCCGCGATTTCGTGGGAAGACGAAGCAACGCCAGCGATATCAAGTAAAGCGACAGACGACGGCGACGACAGCGGAGGACTCGACCTGGTTACTTGCGACAAATATACGCACAGTGAATGCTTAGGACACGGCGCCATTTACTACTGAGGAGCTATCCCGACGTGAGACAGGAGACTAGGCTGCTTTGATCTACGCGCGATAGGAACCCCCGAGCTTACGGCGGATTGACATCGACGAAAACGACGAGGGACTGCTTGAACAACTTGAGGAGCTGCTATGGGATGCGATGGGATTGTGCGCTAGATGAGTTGAAGTTTATCGTTAAACATCGAGGAGCCTGTAGTTGCGCTTGAAAGACGGCGGGCAGACGCGCATGAAGTTGAACAATTCGAGGAATTACTGCACCGGCTGAATAGCATTTTTCTGGAAGGACCGAAGAACCTGGCTTATTACGGCTGAATTAGCTGCTCGACGCCTCTATTTTTTGTCATTGTTTTGACTCCTGGACATGACTGCCGTCCTCGTGGCTACATGCACTACTACGACGGGACTCGAGCATCATCTTGGAAATATCAGCTGCAGGCCCGGCGGCGCACCGATACAGACTAGAGGAGTCATAGGGGACCAGGAAAAGCTGTTGCTAAGGATACGCGCGGATACACAACAGGCTCAGCAGGATTTATTGACTGGATCTCCAGGATTGGCTATGTCACAGACGCGCGGGAGGGGGAAGACATCCGTTACCGCTAAACTTCCCTCCTCGGCGGCCAAAGAAAATGTAGTGGGGAGGAACGGAATATCTGGGCTGGCTGCGAAGAGGAAAGCGAGTAAGCATGCCTTCATCCTTGTGCTCGTCGTAATGTTTGGGGTTGATTCTTGACTAACGTCCATTGCCCCTTCAAACAGTTGATTATGATGAGGATGTCGAGGGTTTTCAGTTCACGCGTGCTGGAAACGTCAAAAAACCGAAGCAGACAAACGGGGTTCTATTGAATGGGGTATCAGACGGCAGCTCAACTCCCGAACTGAGCAGTGCTGCCTCTGGACTTCGACAACAGAACAAAAAGCCTGTAACATCGCGAAAACCGAACGATATTATTGAACCGTCGTCGGAACCCATTGATAATAGAATTATGAAACCCAATTCAAAACGACCGGTCCAAGAGAGTATTGAGCCAATGAACCAGAAACAATCAAATCCGCTGAAGAAAATACAGACACCAGATCCAGGACCTATACATGTGGCCAAGAAACGAAAACCCGGCAGCAGCAAAGATTCGGCGCTTAAATTACCTCAAACAGATAACGAGGAAGCGATCCGGAGTATGCCGGAAGGAATACGAAATGCTAGTACCAAAATCGCACTGCCATTCGCGGACACCCCCGTCATCCAGAGAAATAAGGATATGAGGAAAGAAAAAAGCCGCAAAGGCCAAAGGAGAAGCAGCCTTAGTCTTCGTGGTCGTAGAGCAAGCTCCTTGATAGACAGCGGAGTATCAAATGGTGAGTCCTTACATTTTGCCATTATTGAGTAGTGAACTGTTGCTAACGTGAATACACACATAGCCTTACCACACGATAAGGTTGACACTGCGCATTTCTATAAACATATAGCTAGCGAGGGACTTCCTGAGCCGCGGCGAATGAGACAATTACTCACTTGGTGTGCCACCAGGGCACTTGGTGAGAAGCCGACGGGGTCACGGTCAGAGGACGAAAGCGCCAGGTTGGCTGGTATGTTATTTTCTGCAATGCTGAAAGGAAGTCATATTTTACTAATCATATTGCCCGTTTTAGCCCGCGTTATTCAAGAAGAGTTACTAAAAGATTTTGGAGACAGGTCAGACTTGACGGATTGGTTCAGTCGGCCAGAAACAACCACTCCAGCGGTTGTCATCAAAAAACCGAATCCAAAAAATATACAAAACGCCGACAAGATAAAGGAGCTAGAAGAACATATTCGGCGGTGTGTTGAATTTATTTATTCCCAACCTGTTTTCGGATGCTAATATATGTTATAGTCTCCAGGCAGAGCGTCAGTCTCTTGCAGCTCTTATACGGCCACCATCGGTACCAATCATTAGCACTAAATCGGATATCCTCAGACACCCTACATCCAAGCCGGACGATATACCTGAGCTTTTGCGGCGTAACCCGTTAGCCATCAACCAATCTCTTCTTGATCCAACTCAAGCGTCAATTTTAAACATTCTTGGTCATTCAGAATCACGGCCCAAAGAAGCCTCCTCGAAAACCACAAATTCCAGCTCTGAAATCGATACCTCCATATTATCAATATCAGAGCGCCTAACACGGCTTTCCGCTTCCCTAACACCAACTCTTGACTCTTTTGCAACTGGTATCCACAATATTGAGATGTTCCGGCAATCCGCAGACAGCCTCAGCAGCCACATATTACGTATATGTGCTCAAAGGCTGGAGGAGCGAGATGCACTGCAAGGCAAAAATGCTGGTTTGTCGACGTTGTCTGGAGGAAAAGAGGACGGTAAGAGCAGTCTCCAAGGGACAGTAACCGGCGGAAGGGAAGATTTAAGCGATATTTTAAGAGCTCTAAGCAGGCTTGAGAGAAGATGAATTTAGCTGTCCTTAGCGTCTCGTGTGCTTGTTAGTTTTTGGTTAAGCGTCGGGGTTCCTCTTTTGGTATGGGAACGGATACATCTATCGTTGACTTGCGCCATATACCTTTTGCTTTTGACTTTTTGTTGCTGTTACTGCTTGTTTGTATATATTATGATACCAACATGACGGATGAACCTGTACTAAGACCGTATACTGCAATTCAGCCGCCTGGCTAATTTATTGAAATAAGCAAAGATGATAATAAGAATGTATAAAGCCAAGATAGAAGCTTGTTGCTGTTAGAGCGTACCAGAAAATGTCATGAAATAGAACCAAACAGATACAACACCGCATTTAGTCGCTCGCTCTACTAGCCCGCCCCCAAACTTCATCCATACCACTCTTCCCTTTCGTCTCGGGAACCCACCACCCGATAAATGACCCAAGTATGAGTGCCATCGCAGTGAATAGCCAGTAAATTTGCCCCTTACCACCCATGTGTTCATTGAGGCTTGGGAAAAACTGGGCAACGATAAATGTAGCTATCCAGCTTGATGCGAGAGCCCAACTCTGCGTTGCTCCAACTGCTTCTGGCCCTACTAGCTCTGAGGCTAGAATGAATGGAACGGGGCCAAGGCCAACAGCGAAACTTGTCACAAACAAGAGCGTTGCCACAGCCGAGAGGACTTTGAAATTGGATGCTATCCCTATAGCAAGTAACATAGACATGCTGCCCATACCTGATATACTAAGCAAGATACATGTTTTCCGGCCGAGTTTGTCGGATAATGGTGCGCAGATGACTGTCATGATTAGGTTTAGACAGGATACTAGGACCGTTAGGAGAGCTGCGGTCGTCGGTAGAATAGTAGATAGGAGCGAGACGCTATACATGACGATACTGTTGATGCCGGTGAACTGTTGCGTAAGCATTATTGCGATGACGGATATTATGGCGGGTCTGTATATTGGGTCCATCAACGCTCCAAACATAGTCACGGCTTCTTTGGAACGGGAGGCAGTTCTTGACGATGGGTTTGCCAGAAGGGATTCTTCTTCCTCCGTTTCGACGGCTATGGGACCTCTTGGGCCGGAAGGTGTGGAGGTATGCCAGGTTCTTATTTCTTCACTGATATCTGCTGTAGGGCCTCTTATTCTTTGCAGAATCTTTTTGGCTTGGACTATGTTCTGGTTATCTGCGAGCCAGACAGGACTTTCGACAACAAATGCCAGCCCAAAGAGCTGAACGACGCCAATACACCCAGACACAGCGAGAATAATACGCCATGTGCTGCCTTTGCTGAGAAAGTATCCTAATATCTGTGTTAACAGGATACCGATATTGGCCATAACTTGAGTTACAGCTCCAAACATCCCCTTGCTGCTCGATGGAGAGACTTCGGAAATGTAGATTGGCCCAACCACGAGAGAAGCACCTGACCCAATACCAGACAAAAACCTCCCTGCCACAAGCAGGGAGATGGGAAAGGCAACAGTTTCAGCAAGCGGGCCAAGGATGAAGAATATCGTCGAGGACCGAAGAACAAGTAGTCGCCCATATTTAGTAGAGAGTGGCCCGGCCAGGAGGGCCCCGAGAAGTCCGCCTAGGGTATAGCTCGAAGAAACAAGACCAAATAATTCCTGGCTCATCGGAATACATTGAAGCAGTTTAGATGATAGAATGTGATCCTTCTCGCATGTTATCACAGCCTTGGGGGCATTAAGCTCAGCCTAGTACCGTATGAGAGTACGATGTTGCATGTCAGCCAATACATCGAAAAGCAGGTAGATACTCTGCACTTAACGCTACAGGAGTGAAAAAGTAGTGATGAGATAAATTTATATTTACCAAGTGATATCCAAACTGTAGAGAACCAAGGGTCACAGTGATGATGATAAATACGAGGTATGAGGATATAGCACCGGGGCGCAAAACTGGAGCCATCTCGTCTTTTGAACGATAAAGCTAGGGTATATCTCGTTAAAACGGAGGACTCATCACCGTCCTAGAGTCTAACTAACTAGTATATGTTTAGCTATAAAGAGTAGTGTTCATCATCTAGTCTAAGCTGTGTAAATCCATTAGTTGTTGAAAGAGTCGATGAAGTGACGTTGAGGAGAGCCTAGGCGCTTGTGAAGCGCTTAGTCAGCAGCAACATGACAGGATTGAGCCTAGCTAAGGGTGAAGGACTGGCAGGACTCTTGTTATGATCCGGAACTTGGCAACTATAAATAAATCCCTAGACTATCCTTAAGTAACTAAGAGTAGTAAAGCTTAATTTTAAATTTAATATAGAATATATAATAAAAAAGGGCTTTAAAGTAGCTTATTTAGATATAATATTAGTAATAATAATCTTCCTAGCTTTAGTTAGGGACTAAAAATATAAAAGTAGTAACTAATTATATAATTAGTTCTACTACCTAATACTTACTACTCCCCCCTTATATAGAAGAAGAAGTATTATAAAAGATAAATCTTCTAATATAAATCTTTCTTAAATATTAGTTCTACTTTAAAATCTTTAATTTTATTTTATAATTCCCTAATATATTTTATATATAATATATAATTAGTAAACTCTTACTACTTAATCTTTAGAGTAATTTCTAGCTCTATAGATTAGGATTTTAAAGATATTAGGTATTTTTTTAAACTCTATAATTTAGATATAAAACTACTAATTTATACTTTTAAAGATTATAGCTTAATATTTAACTTAGAAGTTAGGGCCTCTAAAAATTATAGCTTAGTAATTAGCTTTTTTACTTAAAATTAAGAATTAATAAAGCTCTATATTTAATTAGATATTTCTTAAAATAGAATAAATAATTTCTAAGATAAATTAGTATACTATAAATCTTCTTAGAGTAAAGCTAAAATTAAGATTATATCTACTTTTAGATCTTTAAAAACTCTATTTTTATTAAAGTTATAAGATTAATAAATACTAAAGTCTCTCTTAGTAACTATTATATTCTTAATAAAACTTTATAATAAGATAATATAATCTATAGATAATTTATAAAAGAATAGAGGTAGATTATTAACTAATAAAGCTCTAATATTTTTTAAAAAAGGGGCCTAATCTTTAAATATCTATTAGTATAGGTTATTTATATAAGTAAATACTAGAATTAATGTAATAATAGAGTTCCTTTTTAACTTAACTATATTTTAGGCTTATTTATATTTTAAAGGAGAAACCTTAGAGGTAATATTATTAGTACTATCTAAGTTTAAATCTAGATTATACTTATTTTACTCCCTAGTAGTACCTTAAGGAATAATAATTCCTTCTTAGGGAGAGAAAGTAGAGATTTTAAAGTTAATAGGGGTAAAATAAATAGTATTAGGGTTTATAGCTATAGTAGTAATAATTTTAAGTTTAACTAGATTAGATATTTCTATATTAGAGAGATAAGGGGATAATTTAGAGGATATAGTAGTAGAAGTAGTGCCTAAAGTATACTAGAATAGAGAATTTAAAGTAGTAAAAAGGAGAGATATATTAATTAGACTTAGACTAAATAATAATTTATTAAAGTTTACTCCTTATAATAAATTTATATTTAAAAAATTAGTAAACTTTTATTTAATAAGGGTCTAATTAGCTATATTTATAATAACGGAGCTTCTATTCTCTATATTTTTAATTTCTATTTTCTTAATTTTAGCTTTAGTAGCTTTAGTTAAATTAATAAGGAGCTTTAGAGAGATAAAAGTATTTACTAGCTTAAATAATCTCCTTTTATTAGTAGAGAGAAATACTATTAGGGTATTATTATAATAGCTAGGTAAAACTAATTTATAAGAACTCCTATATATACTAATAGCTTCCTAAGTAATAATTCTATAATCTATAAAAAAAGTCTAAATTTCTAGAATAATAAATATAATAAAGTTAGATATAGTAATAAATTTAAAATTATTTATTATATAGTAGTATAGTTTATATAGTCTTAAAAGTATTTTTATAAATAAAAACTATAAAAATTCTTTAATAGAGTTCTTAGAAGCCTTTATATAGAGATTAAAAACCTAAATAAATTTAAATATATTTATAAAAGAGAAATATAGTAATACTAATATATATTAAAGGAAGAAAGATTATAGATTCTCTCTATCTCTATAAGGGATTTAATTAAGATTCTTCTATAGGTAGAATAAGGTATTCTTTAGAGTAGTAAGGTAATCCTTATAAACTAAATCTAAGCTACTAGTTTAAAAGATAATATACTACTTTTTCTTTAATAAGTAAGCTTCTATATACTTATTTAAGATAAGAGATAACTTAAGGGGGATTTAATTTAGAATATCCCTAATTTTATCTTTATAAGAGATAGCCTTTAAGTAGAAGTACTCCTATACTATAATAACTTTAAAGTAAAAGTTTATAATTCTAGTATAGTTCTTATTCTATAGTAGTAACTTAAATAAATTTAGAATATTAGTATCTTATAACTTTATAAATTACTAGTATATCTAGTATTAGGTAAAAGATTATAGTTATTTAAATATACTTAGAGCTAGTTTTATAAATTAATATATAGTTATAGAAAAGTTAACTTATTTATAAAAACTTTCTTGCTTTGTTAGAACACAACCAGCTGGTGGCTATTTATAGCTAAAAGCGACTTAATTTAAAGCTCTTACTAAGCTTAATTTATGGCTTAATTTTGACTCTAAAATACCTTCTATTTCTTAAGAAATTTCGCTAAATACACCCCAACATTCTAGGAAAAATTTTTTCTTCTCTATTTTGATTTTCCTTGCCAAGCCCTGCTTATCTAAGCCCCTTTTTCCTTTTCCCCCTTCCCTTCTATAATTTTGATTTTCCTTATTTTATCTCTTATTACTTACTACTTATCAATCCTTATCTTTCCTTACCTGATCTATCTTAATAAAAATTCGCGGCTATAGCTAAAATATCTAATAGTTTAGCTAAGTTATTAGGTCCCTGCTACTAAGAACTACTAGAAAGTAGCTTAGCTACCTCTAGAAAGCTTAGCTAAATATAGTTTCTTCTAGAAGGCTAAGATATCTAAATAGACTAAGCTTAGGTAATACGTTTTATATAGATTCTTAAACCCCCTTTAAGAAACTAGAGGCCTCTATAATACTAAAAGGTTCTAAATTAGAACTAGAAGGTAGGGACCTCTACTTAAGAGCAAACTAAAGTAGTTATTTTAATTTCTAATTCTCTACTAAAAAGAAAAGTGAAATAGTTAACTATTACTACTTAAAAGATAGTAGCTTTTTTTCCTAGGATTTTTTTTAGAAAAAATAGGAAGTTAGCCTTTACTTTTCTACTTTATAGAAAAATATACTTTATCTAGTATTATCTAAGTTAGGTATCCCCTAAGGCAGACTATACTATTTAGAAATATCTTCCTAGATTTTAGAAAGATTTCCCTATAAAAAATCTAATAGTTTAGTAGTTCTCTTTAAAAACTACTACTAGTATATACTTCTTTAAGGGAGAAAGGCTATATGCCCTATCTCTTAGAGATATATCTAGTTAAATCTTCCCTTAATATATTTTTTTTTACTAAATAGTTATAGGTAACCTATAAACCTAGAGTTTTAGGTAATCTAATAAAACCTACTTACCTAACTATAAGTTAGAAGAATAAGAATGGCTACCCTAAAGAAATCTAAGGAAAAGATCTCCCCTATCCCTTTCTAAGCTTTAGAGTTAGAAGATATAGAGATGGATTTAGAGAATCAATCTTCTCCTCCTTTAACCCCTACACCCCTCCCTATACTACCTTAAAAAAGAGCCCTTAAAAGAAGCCTAAAAGCCTCTTCTTCTAAAGAAAATAAGGAGAAAGAAGCTAAAAACCAAAAAACTAGCCTTGCTCCCTCTAAGAAGACTAGCCAGAATAATCTAGAAATTATTCTAAATATTCTAGAGTAGGAAATTAGAGGGGAAGAAGAGTTAAAAATTCTAGAAATCCTAAAAGAATAGAAGCAATAATTTAAATAGCTTCTAGCCTATAGGAGAAATCAATATAACTCCTTAAAAACGCCTCTTTAGAAGATAGAGGAGAAAATACAATCTCTAGAGAAATTACTAGAGAAAGAGAAGAAAGAGAAAGAAGAGGAAGAACTACCTCAGAGACCCTCCTATGCCTCTATTATAAAAGGGAAAAACGAGACCAAGAAATTAAAAGAAGTATCTAAAGAAATCTCTAAAAAAACCCCTAAAAAAGCCGATATCCTCCCTTCCTAAAGAAAACTCT